AAGTTGAAGACATTGAGAGTTTAGTAAGTTAAATGGATAGTTCACTCTGCCAAATTAAAATTCTGTCATCATTTGCTCACCCTTGTGTTAATCCAAACCTGTATAACCTTTTTTTCTTCTATGGAAACAAAAAAAGATATTTCAAAAAAAGATATTACAAATTTTTCTTTTAAACAAGTACTATTTTAGTTATCCTACTTCAAAGTTTTACATTTATTTCAATTGCTGTCTTTGTAAATGTTTGTGAAATTTACTAGCAATTTCCGAGTAAAAAAATTTGCTTTTTTTTTTGTAGGCAAATAGGAGAATTGACAGACCATCCAATTCAAATAACGTTTTTTCTATGAATTAACTAGAACACAGTCCATTTCTACTCTGCTTTTCCTTGGGACAAGAGTGGGCTATCCTTCTCACATTCCTGGGGGGTCATAAAACCAGTGATATCATGATTAGTTGTCATGGTGACCAGAGGGCCTGGTGTTCAGCAGACATCCTGGCATCCAGTTTATTGAGTGAGGGGACTGTGACGATTTGTTAACCTAATGAATAATTGATTTGTTAAATCAAATTAAAATTAGTGTGTCAGATTGGTCGAGACGCTACAAAGATGTAGATGAGTTTCTTCTTCAGAACAGATTTGGAGAAATGTAGCATTATATCACTGAACCCTCCACAATGATAAATCGTCATTTAAATGTTTAAACTTTAAACCATTGCATTCTGGCCAAAATACCAAACCATACCAACACTTCCTCCATTGAAAAGGTCCATCCCCTGTTGTCAAAATCCACTGAAGTATGTGTTTTGAACTGTTTTAGCTAAGCTAACGTGCTTGATCTGTGCATATTTTTCTCCTGATTCTGACAAGACAACTTTTTCACTGGAGAAAGTTATATTATGGACGAATTTGGACGATATTATAGGTGGAAGCAACAGTTTGAAGTCTTGATGATGGATTTGTTGCGTGCAAACACAGATTTTCACTTCTCAAGACGTTAACTGATGCACCAAAGTTGTGTGGATTACTTATGAATTATTGTGATGTTTTTAACAGCTGTTTGGGCTCATTCTGATGGCACCTATTCACTGCAGAGGATCCATTTATGAGCGTGGTATAATGATATAATGATTTCTTGAAATCTGTTCCAATGAACAAACAAGCTTATCTTCGATGACTTGAGTCATCCAACGTCCACTGTAAAGATCACAATAAATGAAAGTGTTAGCATCATAATGGAAGATTAGAATAATTAGACTAGATTTTGACATGTTATTGTCTATACAAGGGTTAAACCATCTGTGAAAACATCTCACTTCATAGTGATCTCTCTTCATATTTCTTACCATGTGACAGAAATGCGCTGGATGGAACAGATGAAACCCAATACTTTTCTCAGATGTGAAAGACAATAATGAGCCACATGAGAGGCAGTCATCAATTCTCAGATAGCTGAAAGGTATGACAGCACTGAAAGAAACATAGGCTGGATCTCCTACTGGCTGATGCAGTCATGTGATTGTCTGTCCATGTCAATTGCAGCTCCAGTGAGCTGTTGAACTTTACGATAGATTTTAAGATGCATGGCTGTGTGGAATATTAAATGGTAAACACATTCAACAAATGTGGCCCGTCTGTGAATGAAGGATATCAATTGATTTTTAAAGTGTGAGTTTAAGAGGCGCACAACAATTGGTGATATACATCATCTGATTGTATAGATTACCTTATTTGATTGACTTACATGATGACGAGAAGCTGAGCTGATTTTTGGTCACCCTGTAAGAGGCCTAGTTTGTTTTTTACATTAATTATTTAGTAGTCTATGCAGTCGTCTTCAATTTTCTTTTATGGAGACAAGCAGCATTTAGGTATTCATATCAGTCCCTTGACATTCCTGTCTGAACTAATGACTGGCCACTTTTAGGTTAAATGGTCCATGACAGGAAATGTATATTCCTTCTCCATCACTAATTTGGATGTGCAGGTGCGAATCAGAGACAAGTCACAGAAATACTGTCCACATGCTAATTTCACATATGCAATGAAGCATGGTGGTTTTGAAGTCACCAGCCATTCTTTTATA